GCTACGGGTTCGAGAACCCGTAGCTAACGTGATGGCTGGTTCGGAGAACCTTCAAATACCACCCCTGGCTGGCCCCGCCCCACCCACCCCTCCCATTCCAGGAGTCTCCACACGGCTTGTTTTGGATGCGAGGTAAGTGCAGGGCCCACACAGAGGCTTGGGGACGGTGAAAAATGGGCCTCCAGGGAGCTTCTGGAACCTTGGGAAGGTATAAATGCCCCCCCTCCATGGTTCAGGAAGCCGATTAGGCCATGCCCACCCAGCAACCGGGCAGAGAACTCATTGGTGAAATTTTTGAAGCCCATCCCTGCTTGCATAGATTACAAAGCTGGGAGTATGTTCATCCAAACCAGCCTCCCCCCCCCAAAAAAACCTTGGCAATATTAAGACTTCTGGACTTCAGTTCCCAGAATTCCCCAATTCCATGCCGGCTGGTGAATTCTGCAAATTGAACTCCACAATTCTTAACGTTGTCAAGTTTGGAGACCACTGATTCAAAAGAAATAGCACATTTTTTTAAAAAAATAATCGATTATTGGTAAAGCAGGATTCCGCCACCAGATGAAGAACTCAGAATGGGAGAAACGAGCTGAAGGGCCCACGCCAAGAATTAAGTTAAGAATCGAGAAGCAATTTCTTGCGAGGGGGTGGGGTGAGGGATGACAAGGAGAGACTCTAACAGGAACGAAAAGAAACACAAACCTTCCAACTAGGAATCTGAGGTGATGGTAACATGCCTGGCCCAATGGTGTAATAATGAGCGTAGTCTGGAAGGAGGGTGGAGGAGGTGGCCCGGGTCCATGCGTGAGAGACAGACGGAATATGAGGGAAAGAACCCACACCAACTGGGGCTAAAGATGAGCCACTGGGTAAACTACAGTGATAATACCCATTAGACAACTGGAAACAAACAAAAAGGGGGAAAAAGGAGAGAAATTAATATAAATAGGTCCAAATATGGGGGAAGTACAAAGTGAAACAGGCATGCATCGCTGGGAGAAAGGAAGGGAAATGCGCCCAACGGGCTCTAGTCCCCTTTGGCTAGTCAACACCCATAACCCCGATGCTTGCTCATGCTTTGTTAATGACATTCAACTAGGCAACCATGTTCTGGAAGAGAAAACCAGAACAGGAACAAACAAAGATCATTTTCGGGAGCTGAATCGTTGGACAAAGCTACGCCCCAGAGGCGCAAGTGCTGCATAGGTCGGTGTGAGGAGACGCCTCGCAGTAAAAGGCTGTGTGGTGTTTTGTTAAGTGAGAACACCTCCTCGATAGCTTCATGCCACAAGAAGTTAAAAGAACTTCTCTGGCCAAGTTCTTCCTGGGCCTGAAAGCTCAGGATCTCCAGCGATTTCATTTCTTGCAGTAGAGCTCAAGCTTCAGAAAATGACTTTTGCGGACGAAACGAAACAAAGAAACGACGATAGGAGGAATGGAAGAGGAAATTGCTCATGAGAACGGATCACACCGATCCTCTCCTTCACTCTTTTCTCTAGGCTGCTGGGCAGATATTATATGTACCCCTGCCAAAAGGATCTGGCTTTCCCAGGGGGATTTGGAAAAATGGAACAATGGAATTTATAATCTGAGAGAGCGAAAGTCTATTATTCTCTCCAGATTTGGTCTCCCTCTTTAGAAAAAGTAGGTTTTTCTTATTGGTATTTTTTTGTCATAGGTGGATTTGTGGAAAGAAAGCTGCTCATAACAACATCCCTAACAGATGTCATTTTAAGTGCTCTGGAAAAATGTCATTTCTGTGTCCCAAGCCTTAATTGTGTTCGCTTCAGGACACGACTGGCATTACAGGTAGTCCTCAACTTACGACCACAATTGACCCCAAAATTTATGTTGCGAAGTGAGAAAAATGTTACGGGAGTTTTGTCCCATTTTAGACTTTTCTCGTCACATTTGTTAAATGAATCCCTGCGGTTGTGAAATCAGTGACGTGGTTGGTAAGTGAATCCAGCTTCCCCATTGACTTTGCTTGTCAGAAGGTCTCAAAAGGGGGTCCAGGGCGTAAGTGTGAGTCAGTTGCCAAGTGTATGAATGTAAATCACGTGACCCTGGGGATGCTACAACGGTTGTGTGAAAAATATTCATAAAGTCACTTTTTCCGGTGCTGTTGTAACTTTGGTCACTAAGTGAACTGTTGTAAGTCAAGGACTATCATCCCCCCGAAAATAAGACAGGGTCTTATTTCCTTTTGACCCCTGAAATAAGCCTTTGGCCTTATTTTTGAGGAGGTCTTATTATTTTTGAGGTGCAAGAAGTGGAGAGCGTGGTTACCTCATGGCTATGTTGCAATATTTTCAGGGAGGGCTTATTTTAGCGCATGCACTCAACCCCCCCCAATTGGGCTTATTATCCAGGGAGGTCTTATTTTCGGGAAAACAGGTTACTTGCACTCGAAATATCTGCGAACCTCTAACTAGGTCTGATCCGGGGGCAACTTCTCTGGCAAAGCTTAATTAAAAGCCAAACATCGACGTCAGCTTTTACCACAGCTTCATTCCTCTCACTTCAACCCTTCTAAGGAATCTGGACATTTTCCCATTCTCATCTGTAGCTTCTTATTATTTGCAGTTGTTTTCTCCTGAATATTACAGAGCCTGGACAAAACCAAAGGACGAGTCTTCGAGATTGAAGTCTTTTTTTTTTCACCTTTTCTGTGGAGGCCCAAGCCGCCATGGTGGAGCCTGAACTGACAGAGGTGGGGGAGCTGCACTCACTCACTGACTGGCAGGTCTCAGAGGCTTCAGAAGAGGCAGAGCTGGACGAATTCTGCTGGGGTTCAAAAAAAAAAAAAAAAAAGCCCAAAAGGCACCACAAAGAGGAAGGAAAGGGAAGAAAGACAAGCCAATGAAACAAAAAAAAGCAAAGGACAAATACATACAGAGAAGAAGAAAAGCAGAGTGTTAGGAGTTAAACAGAGGGGGGGGGGAATCTAAGCATTAAACACAATTATAAGTTTTTTGAAGAGTGCGGAGGGACCAAAGCAATGGGTTCTACATGGTAGATTCTTCGCAGCATAGCCAACCGACTTAATGACCTTCCCAAAGGGCTTGAGAACAGGTTAGATGTCCTGGCTGCAGATTTGGGACTTCCATGCAACTGGAAGGCAATCAACGTTGGCGAAAGCGCCATATCATTTCACGAAATCGTAAAACAAAAAGCTGCAAGATGTGAGAATCTCAACCCTTGCCTTCCCTGCTGAAGGAGTTAAGAAGGATGCTTCCTTCCTTCCTCTAATCAATCTTCTACAGGTGAGACTCCCTGTTCTTTCAACAGCACACAGCATGGTTCCTGTCACCATGGAAGCGAGCAAGGAACAGGCCCAAGACAGTTACACCTACGGAACAAGGTCCAAGCAACTCTGGCAGAAAGATGACATAATTGCAAAGTGTGTTTTGCTGCTCCAGATACAAGAGGGGCATCATTTATTCCACGGGTACCATTCAGGATCAGGGCTGAGCTTGTACAGTAGGAGAACACAGCTCTGAAGGTTGCCTTTAGCTTTGAAGATTTACGCTGGGCAGAACCGTAACACGGAAACAGGACAAGTCAAGACTAACCCTACATCAATTTATGTGGTAATGACTATTCTTGAAAGAGACTGAGGGGCGAAGTACCAGGGTAGTGCAAGACAAACCTACCAATCAACATTTCCATTTCTGAAAAACCTTACTATTCACCCAGAGCACTTCTTAAAAAACTCTGCTCAGGAGTATGCCAGATCAGGAGTCTCCTACCTTGTCCACTTTAAGACTTGTGGCCTTCAACTCCCAGAATTCCCCAGCTAGCTGGCCGGGGAATTCTGGGAGTTGAAGTCCACAAATCTTAAAGTGGACAAGGTAGGAGACTCCTGATCTGGCATACTCCTGAGCAGAGTTTTTTAAGAAGTGCTCTGGGTGAATAGTAAGGTTTTTCAGAAATGGAAATGTTGATTGGTAGGTTTGTCTTGCACTACCCTG